GAAGAGAATGTTAAGTTTCGCTCAGTCAGCGTTTTCCCGTTTTATTGGTTGCTTTCCCGCACCATTGACGAATGCCCACTCTATAGTTAATACGAAAGAAAACGCTTTAATTTCAAGCGCTCAGTCTGATCAGCAGTACATTTTTAACTAAATACGTTTGGAAAATATGTGGCCATTTTAATTTTTATGGGAAATATTTTGTTATGAAGCTCTTCTCTAGTCTTGTACATTATAAATCTGCTACATGATGAACTCACGTAATATTGACTGTGCAGGAGAATTGTTGTTTTTGTAAATCGTTTTCCACAGTTTTGTTCTTAAAGGGAAGATACAACATTTACAAACATCAAAAAACGAAATGATCCAATTATCACGAAATACCTTACTGGATTGTTAGGGAACGACAGTCTAAAGCATCCTGTAAAATTGTAGCTCCTGGTGTGCTGACATTTTCAAGAAAAATTGTATTTTTTCCAACACTGGTCGGCCGACAAGCGCTGGAGAAAACTGGCTATTTTCAAAAACTACTCCATATTTCTTATATTTAGTTATTCCACATTTTCTTTGCAATTGATTACTTACCTGTGAACGGGTACAAGCCAGCTAAATTGATACTCTGACCGTACAATTCCCCAAAGTCTATAAATTGCTCCATTTCATCTAAGTGGGGTCAGGGAACCAGATTACAAGAATATTACGGTTTTCTTAGTTTTTCCAGCATCTACAAGCCAAAAACGTAAAACAAGTCAGTTTAACAATATTTGCTAAAACATATAAATCCTCCAAATGCACTTATTTCTGAAAATTGCAGCAAAAGCCAATGCTGTGTATTTAAATTCTAAGAAGTCCTTTTCTTTCATGTCAGCACCGTATGCGATCGAACCGATTTCTAATCCTATACATTTCAAAGATTCTGACGTACAAAAACGGAGAATTATTGCCCGTTCAGCCCCGACCAACGGATCGATCTGCACAATGCACGGACACGCTGAGCCGCAACAAAACAGATTATTTCCTTTTTTAGTTGACAATAACCTTTTCTTCCTTGTGGCAAGCCTCAGTGGGCAAAACGCACAAGGGGGTGAATTTGACGTCTATTAAATACTATTTTGACATTTCATAATATAACTGTCTACTTAAAAAAAATACCCGTGTGACCTGTCATTTGCGTGGTGGGTGGTGAGTCGGCAAAGAAAAGCCTCAGGCAAACCTGACCCGCTACCCCCCCCCCCCAAAAAAAAAAACAACCTTGGCATTTACTCAATCAGTCTCGCAGAGAAAGCTAGTTAGATTTGCAAGTAGGTTATTTCAAAGGTTCGAGTACTTTAAATACAAATATTATTATGAGTTTTTGATTGATGGTCATAAAACAGTTAATGTCGTTCTTATGAAATGGGCGGAAGTTTCTTGTCCACTTTGGAAGTTTTTTTTTTTTAATATAATAAAATAAAGTTCGGAATTCCAAATGCGCATGACAACAAAATTTGATGATTTTCGTTTTGAAATGTTAATAGGTTCCACGTCAACGAAAGCTGCAATATACAATTTCTGCAAGAAACAGATAGGGAATAGGGATGGGATCTACCCGATGTTCCCCAATACCGATGTTCCCCAAATCCTTAGGGTTGGGGCTAGGGTTAGGGTATATTGGTAGGGATTTCGGGGAACATCGGTATTGGGGAACATCGGTATTGGGGAACATAGGTATGCACCCATGGGGATCATAGTTCGCACATAATCTGGAGAATTTGACTTTATAACATGGTGCTGTCTGAAGTAGTCAATGGTTTGAAAGAACGTCTTCCGAACTCAGTACCAACTTTGCACTTACTTCAAAAAAACATTCTTCACTTTTAAAGTACCCTCCACACTTTTCAACGCAAGAGGCATGCATTGTTTCCATGAAGATGGTCCAATCATTTTCGAATTCTTATGATCCCCATCTGTTTCTTGCAGAAATTGTATATGGCAGCTTTCGTTGAGAAGGATTCCACACGAAAATGTATGCTCGTGACAGACGGTGTGACGTCGTTCCCGAGTTTGTGGGAACCAAATGGATAATGCACACAATTGAAAACAAAAAAGATAATGTATAAATTTTTTTAAACCATTTATTTGTAATCTTTGGGATTTTGCCAATGTCAAGTCCTTGGCGTGAATGCACGACTCTGCGGGAGGTAGTAATAGTACACAATGCGCAACTGGGTTGAGACGAACACATAAAATACCCATTGTCGCCTATTACCATTGTTAAAATCTATAATTAGGCGGCTGTGCAATGCCTTCGAAATAACACATTGATACTTGAGTGATATTTTCGGCATAAATTCAGTCTGCGCCAAACCATAGGGCTGGCGCAGGGGCTCTACCCAACTTTGGTGACCAGAGTTTGAATCCCGCATGATGCGTCATATGGTTTCGAATTGCGGGCGCATAATTTGAATTTTCCTTGGGCTCATATTTTGTGCAACTTTCTACACCTCTTAAAAGTACAAAAACTATTTGACATCCCTTTATGGTTACTTTCAGTGAAAAGCGCACAATGTAAACATTTCCAATTGTCCATGCGTTCCTTGACAAATGAAAGCGCTGTTGCTGTGGTTTCATTCCAGGTAAACATTGTTCAGTTCAAGGTTTTTCTGTTAAATCTGTGACCCAAAAGTTGCTCATTGACAACATTTGTGGGAAAGCTTTGCTCTTTGGCCAAATGTTATGTTTTGAAACAACAACGAATCACCAAAGAAAAGACAATTTAAGACAGCAAAATATTCAAAATTGTGGCAAATTTTGATGTTGAAATATCTGTCACATTGAGGCTTCTGCATGCCTGAAATGACATCACACTTGTGCTCATGAATATGCAAATTTGCTTTAACATAAAAACCAAAAGGGCACCAATGGAAAATGCCCTTAAAATGGCAAGATGAAAATTGAAAATAAGGTTAAATGAGACACGAAGGTGCACTTACTTAAAAGGATTGCATGAAAACACTTGCATTTCACAAGCCCTTTAAAAATCTCGTGAGATATCTCCAGAATTAGGCTATTTTGCAAGGAATTTTAATGCACGTGTGAGTGGGGACCGCAGACTGACATAGCGTGGATCTAGTGGTTATGGTCTGCGACTCATAGGCAGAGCACCAGGGTTCGAAGCCTGCTGGTGGTCCTGTAGTGTCCTTGGGCGAGCCAATTTACCCAACTTGTCCCCCCCCCTCTTTATGCAGGAAGTTCTGTGGACTGGCATCCCTTTTAGAAATATTCTCAGTCGTTTTGTGCCACATAAACTGGAGATACATGTAAACGCCCACATCTTCAAAAGAGCTCTAAAAATTCATTTGTCCCGAAAACCTTGTGCAATTTTGAACACATTTGTACATTTTTGGGATATCTGCTTATCCCAAACAGTTTTTTCTACGGTTCAGACTAGAATTTTCATTCTCTGCTAACTCCATTATAAGCCAATTTCTTTGGTTGTGAGAACCGCCCGTGAATTAACTGGTGTCAAGTTAAGGTTTATTAATTGTAACTGTCACGCAACAGTAGGGATAGCGAGCTGGGAGGTAGTCGGCAGTTTTGTATTGTCGGCTTTATATCCTGGTCGAACCGTGGAAAAAGGGACACAAATAACAACAATGCTTCGGTACAAAATGATTTTGCGCCCTAGGCGAGGTTGCAGCAGCGTCAATGTTTTGTTCCATTTCCTGACGAGTAGTTAAACTAAATTTAAATGTCAATTTTTTAAAGGGCCCATATACAATGTAATATTGTTAATGCAATTTGCACCTTTGTGTCCCATTTAACCTTATTTTCAACTTTCGTTTTGGCATTTCCCAGGGTATTTTGTTTTTATGCTAATGAAAATGTCCATATTCATTAGCAAAAGTGTGATGTTATTTTAGGGGGAAAGCTCAATGTTAACTATTTCAGCACCACAAGTTGCCAGAATTTTGGATATTTTGCTGTGACTTTTCTTTTCATCGGTGATTCCTTTTTGTGTCAGTACATGGCAGTAAGCCATTGAGCAAACCTTTCTCACAAAGTTAACAATTTGAACAGAAAAGCCCTAAACTGAAACAGTGTCTTCCTGACCTGACCCATAGCAACAGCGACCTCAGTTGTCCGGAAAAGCATGGAAATGAAAAGGGATGTCAAATAGTTTTCATACATTCAGGAGACAGTTGCACAGAATATGTTTCCCAGAAAAATTCATTGCATGAACCCTTTAATGATAAAAAACATGCGACAGTACTGTTGATCATCCGGAAATCAGTACACGTACATGTACATTTATATCAATCAGTTGTTGATGCAGTGAACCTGATTATAATCCCAACTAGGTTGAGATTCGCAACGGGATTTCGGTCCCTGTTTAAAGTCAGTTTGTATTATTCCCAGGGAAAGTTTGTACAATGTATTCCTTTCCCCAATTCTGAAATTTGCCATTTCTTCATCAGATTTTTTGGTTTTCGTATTCAGATTGTGTACTGTTCTTTGACAAACGTTTATTACAATAAAGACGTGTGTCTCCCCCTTACATTACGTTAATTTCATTCATGATAAAATACGGTCTGGCACAATCTTGGCAGCTAATTAAAATTTGAAACTGTGTACCACTAAGAGGCTTTCTTTTCAATCATTTGATTTTAATGCAAAGCACGACCCAGCAAAATGTATCCTTATACATTGTATTAAAAAGTAATTAACATATCATCAACACAACAGACAAAACCCAATGCTCTCACCCGAAGAAAAGTGCAAAATCGTGTGATGACAAATGTTAATAAAGATCTATAAATCTTATTGAGTTTTTGAAGCAGGCAGTTTCAGAATTGTTATTGTGTTGCCCGCTGTACTAGCGGGAATGTGTATATTTTCCCGTGCGCAGAATACAGAAGGAAATCTCCCGTTTCTCTAATTATGGTTGTATGAACGGCTAGAATAAACCTGCGAGGCTATGAGAAACACTTTCAAAAATCTATGTTCTTTCCTATTTTCTGCAGTGAATGGCATTCATAAACACAACGGGATTCATAAGCACCAGCTCTTGGCAAACACCCAGGTCACGGCGCCCTCAACGGTGCACCAGTCTTTCGTCCAATCGCAGACGAGTAGTGCGCCCTCAAGCGGCCTGGAACTGCTGACGGGCGTGTCAGAGTGGTATCGATTGCACCGGCAAAATGGTGCGGGAGGCAGTAGTCGGAGTCCTGCAGCTGGTTCTTCTAGTCTCCCAGGCAGAGAGGATGAGTACTCGCAAAGAAGACTGCCGGGTCTTGAGTCATTCTGCAGGCCGTGGTTGCGGGACAATCACGCTGCTCAGAGTTCTTTCCCTACCCAGGAAAACGGCTGTGCTCTTCCGCAACAGCTCCCTACTACCGAGCCGCAAGGCTCGTCAAATTATCCTGGCAGTTGTCAAATAGTGACGCAAAACTCGATAGCTAAGAATGAAACAGCAACAGCATCTCCGAGAGAAAGTTCAACATCGAATGGCATTCTCAAACAGTCGCTACCCACGACAACAGACTATCAAACGCCTACAAGTTCGGCGTACGGCGAATCACATCAATGGAATGGGCAAACTGAGTCAACAGAGGGCGCAGCGGCACTCTCACAGTGCGGCATCCAGTACCGTGCAAGCTCGAGTGAGGAGGATACCTCGGACACAGAAACCGGCAAGAAAAGAAAACGGGATGTCGCGAGGGACGTTGACCAACACGACGACCGTTGCTGGAAAGTGACCGACATTCAGATAGGCAGGCCCATCAGCCTAGTGGTGAAAATCAACAAAAAGGACCTGCGGATCAGTCAAAGCCAATATCCAGGCACTCCCTGGAGCACGTTCAACAGCGCCCCCATTAGCAATACATTCACCAGTAGTCAAAATGGCGGTTCCTCAAACGGCGCCCTCAACGGAAGGGCCCTCACCAACGATGCACCAAACAACAGAGCTTTTATCAAGAGTGCCGTCGACAACATTGCGTCCATCAACAACACACTCAGTGCCTCAAAACCATTTGGCAGATCAGAGGTCCATCCTGACAATAATAATATCTTTGAGAAGGTCGACCAGGTAAATGTCAGTAAAGACACTGAGAACACAGTGGACACCGAAATCTTTCACAACAGTCTTGGCGAGCGCATTCAGCATGATAAGCGTTACAATGGATCGGTTGAGTTGGTTCACGTTTCGGAATGCACACCAAGAACTTCGGATACTGGAGTTACGGAGAGCGAACAACCGAACAGTGTACACGATCACCGGCGGAACAATGTGACAACGCACGGCGGCATCGCCAGACAGAATTCTGGCGGGAATTCGGAGCTGAGCGGCCTGGCCAACATGCCCACGGAACACCTGCCCCTGCGCAAGCGCCACAAGAGGGCCTCGATCTCGCTAAGTCTTGCTGCCAACGAGGGTTCGGCTTGGGGAGGCCATACGGCCGCGACAAAACCACCCGACCGTGTGAACTTTCCTCCTAACCGCGATGGATGTGATGTAAAGGAACCGGCCAAGCAGAGGAGAAACTTTGCATTGGAGGAACTTTGTAAAAACGAAGAATCACAAAAGTTGACCTCAGTCCAAGTTGAAAACGGCAAGGTCAATTTCATAGGGGAGGGCACCACCAACGGTGAAATCCCATACGATCGTAGACACGATATCTCATCGAGCGAGAAGTCTGCTGAAATAATGACACCTGAGAAGATCGCGCCATCGGAAAGGGCGCCCTCTGCAGACCTCAGCGAGGAGACAAGCGAGTTGTCCCCCTTCACAGCCACACCGAGCAGCGGATCGTTGCGTGGGACCCCTGACCTTTCAGCTAGTCTCGCGGACCAGCCGCAGTCTGTCCAGCCGGAGCAATATGATCGTAACATGGACACGAAGACGCCAAGAGAGGAGACACCTGAAACCCCACCTCCCAATGGTGACATGCTGAACACCAGCTGTTCTGTAAAGGAACCAGCTCGGACTATCGGTAGCGCCCTCTTACGACCCAACGATGCCCCGCCTCCTGCTCATCAGTTTGCCCCACCCACCAACCTTTACCCCCACCATCATCAGCTGCCGTACCCGCTGCCGCCCTTTCCTCACCACCGGTTCACCTACGACCCAAGACTGTCCATGATGCCTCCTCCAACCCACACCACGAACTCCCTTCTGACACCATACCCTTGCCACAGTGACGTACGATCCCAACATGGCGCCGCACGCCCCCATCCATCCCAAGAAGACATCTGTCCACCTCTGCCGTACCATCCACCACATCCAGTAGGACATCACTTCGAGAATTATCCCGTGAATGGTTTACATCCTCTCCCATGCTACCCTTTCCTACCGCGGCCGTACGCCAATCCAACCCTGCCGCCGTCGCATCCCTTACAACCTACCGATGGTCTGCTTCACCCATTGACCTCCGCGCCTTGCCCTGTCCGCCTACAGACGACACACATCTCAGCAGCACCGCACCCATCTCCATACACCCAGCCCATCAACTCTGCCACGGTAGCACCTCAAACAACTCCGACAAACACCGAGACAACTCCGACAAGTCGCAGTGCAGTGATGCAACCATCGATACCGCAAGGGGAAAACGGAACGACGAACTCGTCCACGTCCGCACAGCCGCCAGTGTCAACAATCCAAGCCGAGACCCACTTCGCTCCTCTGAAGCGCGCCCCCGGTCGGTCCAGAAACAGCAACCACCTGTCGAGTGGGGTCGCCCTCGGCGAGACCTCTTTCCTTTGCGACGTATGCAACAAGGTCTTCCCCTTGCAGCGGCTCCTGAATCGACACATGAAGTGCCACAGCGCCAACAAGCGGTACAACTGCGCTTTCTGCAGCAAGGGCTTCAACGATACCTTTGACCTGAAGCGTCACGTGCGAACACACACGGGTAAGTCTAGATTTCTAAACAACGGTGTCGCTTGATAAAATGGGTGTTTTCATCGACAATGGTTAACTTAAGCCATTTGATGTACCGTGCTCAATTCATGCATACAGCTATTCGTTTTTTGTGCATACGGAAATGACACAAAACACGATTGCGCTGCATGGGTACGTTAAAGGTAACAGTCTGATTTAACCCATTGACATTTAACGTCGTTTCATTGCGTTGGTGAACGGCAAAATCTAATATCCAAACCCTACGGGTCCTTCGGTGACGTCATCCAAAGCACATCCGGGTTCTTTTCCTTTTCATTAACTTCACACGCCCTCCCAAAATGTGGTCAGAGTTTGAAAGAGTGTGGCATGGGAGATCTGCTGCCAGCCATGCTACATCACCACTTTAACCGTCCACGTGCGGTCATCTGAAACAAACATCGTAAAAATATAAAGCAAAGTTACATTCATTTATTTCTGCAAACTCAGGACACAAGATTGACTTAAAGGGAAAATACAACATTTGCAAACATCAAAAAATAAAACTACCAAATCATTTTGAAATACCTTGCTGGACTGTTAGTGAATGACAGTGTAAAGCATCCTGTAAAATCATGGCACCTGGTAAAAGTGGGTTTTTTGTATCAATTTCCAACGCTGATCGGCCGATCAGCGTTGGAAAAAACTGGCTTTTTTCAAATACTGGCCCCAATTGACCATCGCACTTGTTTGCAATCGATTACAAACCTATGAACGGGTACGAGCCAGCTAGACTGGTTCCCTGACCGTACAATTCCCCAATGTATGTAAACTGCTCTGTTTCTTCTTATATGGAGTCAAGGAACCAGACTACAGGAAAATGATTGTTTTTCTAGGTTTTTATACCATTTTCGAACCCAAAACCTCAAAAAAGTCAGTGTAACTATATTTGCTATATATTTCCAACCCCCCAATTCCATCCATTTCTGAAAATTACAGCAAAAGCAAATGATGTATATTCCCTTTAATATGACCGCATCGACTGTCTATATGGAATATTCCATAAAATAGATTAGGGGCTAATGTGTGACATTTATTCCGTCCCCTATAAACTTGGTACCATTCAAGTGTCATCAAATATAACTTCAAAATAATGTTTTTTTTATTTGTTGGGTAGGTAGTTTACTATTCATAATCACTCCTGGAGTGCGACTGCATTAAACAGTGCATCAGAATTATAAATTCACAGATGTCAGATGTAACAGGGACAGGGAAATATGGACCCCTAAGTTATAGAATGTCCAAAATGAAATAGAGATATTCCTAGCCAACAATAACCCCATATCCTTGACCTTTGCATGAGAAGCCTTCCCCAGACGAATAGTTTAGACTTTTCAATTTAGATGACAGTCGTTTTGGGCGATTGATGGCGGTACAGATAGGGTCAATCGTCACAACTCATTTCCTCTTGGAAGTGAAAAAAGCAAAATCGTTAGAAAAACGGTTTTGGTCGACTGGTTGTTGGCTGCAGCCAGATAAATTACTGCCGGCTTGAATAGGTGCATTAAAAGAGGTCGCGGCAACTGACACCCAAAGGGAGCTTTGTGTCGCTTTATTTTTCCGTAAGTAGTTGATGTCAGTTGGGCCCACACGCAGTACTTGCAGAGATAGCACCGCTTTTAGAGTGAGTCAAATACAAGTGACCTGGACTAATGATTTTTTCTTGAAAAGCAATCAAATTTAATACACGCATAAAAGATGTCATAAACATTCTTCCACTCATTTGAAGAAAAAGCAATTTCTAAAATTGATCAATGCTATTTGATATGCATGTTTAACTAAAAGAAACTATTATTTATAGCTGTCCAATGCAATGAAAATCTATTGAGCTGACTGGGAATTACAGATTATACACGAGCCTTCAACTACAAAGGGATTGTATTCATTTGAGTCAAGACTGAAACTTTATTTTTACTGTCGGATTTTGTGTTTTGAATATGAGGAAAAAGTCCACTCTTTTTTAATGAAATATTGATTGCGTTTTTGTCTGTTTTCCTTTGCAAGTTTTCGTTCATTCATGAAGATGGGAAACGTTTATTTTTCATTGTATTTATTGGGTATTCATCAGTTCGTAGAACGGTAAATGATCAGTGGTGGACAGCTGAATTTTGTGATCTTTTTTTATTCAAATAGTCATAACTTGGGAATAGAGTACGCAAATTAAGTGATATTTTCACAGTTTCTGGTCAATAACATGTTCTTTATCACTATGTTACTTTTTATGAAATGGAGCGAGCCGCATACATGTATTGTTTGTAAATATTTGTTTCTAATTCGGTCGCTTTTTTTTGACTCACCCTGTATTGAACATCCCCGGTAGCCTGCTGTGGCAAATGGTTATTTTGGGGCTAAATGCAATTGTAGCGACATTATTTTAATGCATGTCGTTCCTTGGTTGTTCTGATATAGCATTTTGTTTTAGAACAGCTTGATGTTTTGTTTCATTGTTCTCGTCGACGTTGTTTTAATCGTTGCTTTTTTTGTCAAGTACACTTGTCATGTTCTTCCGTTGATCTTACTGCAGATATTGTTTGCTTGTTGTTTGTTTGTTGGTGTGTTGGGGTTGGGGTGTTTGTTCGTTTGTTTGTTTGTTTGTTTGTTTCGGAACCGTGAATTGTCTTCGTTGCTGGTTTTACCTTTAAAACAAAACCGCGATTGTGTCGTTCATCTCACATCTCGCGCAGAATTTTACCGCAAATCTTTATTGTTACTGTAAAGTGAAAAGGGAGTTTCGTTGCAATTTCTGAACAGTGAAAATCACGAACGACAGCAACAGAATGATGACAACTTATATACATATTTGTGTTCATTTTTTTCTTCATGGAACTTGTGTCCCTCAAAATGTTCACAACACTGTATAAGCTAGAGACTGAACAATCTATTGACAGAGGACTGATGCAGTGATTGGTAGAGTTTAATAGTTCCAAGGAAGCTTCGGATACAACGTAAGGACTGAAAACATAATCTCTTTCTCGGCTCATTTTGGGACTTAACCAGGGTTGCAGAGGTGACCTGAGCCAACCAGACTTCTCCAATAAAGAGAGCTTACACAGAGCTTGCTCACCGTCGACAGATCTGTATTCCTCCGTGTTACTCATGACATAACTTTTTTAGTTAAATAACAACATTACTCTCTGTTTGCCCTCGTAGGTGTCCGTCCCTACAAGTGCGAGTATTGCAGCAAGGCCTTCACCCAGCGCTGCTCCCTAGAGTCCCATCTCTCCAAGGTTCACCGTTCCCTCCACGACTACAACTTCAAGCAGCGCCGCTCTAAAGTCTTCGTCTGCGAGGAGTGCGGGGAGACCACGGAGCAAGCGGAGGAGCACTACGCGCACATCCGGGACGTGCACCCCAACAGCACCGAGCTGCTCAAGTTTCAGGACAAGATCCAGTTCCAGAAGCTACTACGCAGGTGCGAGGCCACCGCCTCGCCAACTTTCAGCGAATCGTCGGCAGGGTCGGCTTCTGGCTCTTCGTCGCCGGTGGCGGCGCTCTCGGGGTCCACCACGCCCTCTACCGCTGGGCATTTTGCCGAAACGAGTGGCGCACCAGCCTCAGTCGAGCACGGGATTTCTCCTGGTAGTCGCGCTAAATCGCAGTGACAGATGTCCTTATGAATTGTCATAAGGAATGACGCCATTGATTTTCTATTTTGGTTCTTGAACACTGAATTCTCAAAACATAAATTTGAAGTTAAAGTTGATGGTTAATGGATAAATCTCGTGCCAGCTTTTGAGTCACTTTTACTAAACTGAAAATTCTGTTAAACTCTAGCTTTCAATAATTTAAATTAAGTACGAAGTGTCATAAAAATCTTTTGAATCAGCAAAAGAGCGAAATCTCTCGTCTTGTCTCCATTCTGAAATAAATCTCTGGACAATAATAAAAAAAAAAGTGTAATATATTTTTGAAAGTAACAATCAGGACGAGTAGTAATTCTCAGTGAACTGAATAACGTGCCAAATGCATGGGTCGTCTTAAAGAAACTGAACACATGATGCTCACAAGTCTTGCTAAGAACCTATTTACCGATTCCACTCGAACGAACCGGTTCCAATAGATACACATGCTTTATCTGAAATTATAGTATTGCCAAATATTTGTCACGCAAAGAGCTGTATCATAGTTATTTTTATATTACAGTAATATAATGATTAGAGTTTGGTTGCTATTACATTATGATCCACCTGACTGCATGTCATTGATTATACCACAGGCACCAGACTAATTGTACAGACTTAGATCGAGCTTCGTTTTCGATCACTATACGCACTTGTAATAATACGCATCACATTACACTGCACAGATAGACAGGTACAACATGGGCGTCGCCATGATTTTTTCTAGAGGGGGCCAAATTTGTTTTTTGCCAAAAAATGCTTGTATTTCTCAACACATTCTCGATTTATCAGTTTTAGAGGGGGGCAGGGACATCCCCCCCCCAACTCATTAAATTTGCACCACTTTGTCTTCGCGCCTCTTTTTGTTTTGTTTTGTTTTTGGGGGGGCTTTTCCAGGGGGGGGGGGAGGGCAAGTGCAACCCCTTGCCCCCGCCCTCGCGACGCCCATGAGGTACAAGTTGAGTGGTGTTTTGACTTATCCTCGTCTTGCAATGCGCATTTCTAGCAAAGTTTATGAAATATCTGCCAAAAAACAAGGGAGAAATTATTTTTCTAACTGAAGCTGTGAAGAATCGTCACATTTGAAATTGCATTAAAATAAAGGAATTACGCACAATACATTTTGAAATTGTTAAGACATTTGCCTGTGCAATCTGTTACATTCATGTAAGACATTTTATTTTTGGTCACTTTCTTTGTTTTGAATGTAACTGGTATTTATGTGTTTTATTCTTCCTCAGATGTCGATGCATTGAGCTTTGATTTGTATCATTTGCCGTCCAAATTAAAGATATTTCTTTTTTTCAATTGCGAAGCATTTAGATCCAATTTGCTTTTAGTTTGATCACATAACTAGAATTATATGCACGGAGTTTTATGCAAATTATGGGAATGTATAGCCTACGGAATTTATGATGAAAGAAGAACCTGACCGCAAACGAGACAAAATTTAACCGAAAAATACCCATAGTATGTCAAGATAATGAGAAAAATGGATTTGGCAGATGAGATGATTTTAATATCGCTTTTGCTCCCTTAGATGTAAAATTAATCATAACTTCCAAAAAATTCGAACACAGTTTTCTTTCTTTTCCTTTGTTTGTTGAAATTCGATTGCATGTTTGAAAGAACATATTGTGTTGATCTGAGGTTGTACTTGTAGATTTTTATATAGTCTTTTAGAAGTTGACTTTTGTATGGTTTTGTGCGGGAATTTGTCATTTTTTAATTGTATTGTCGTTTTGTACACATAGTTGTAAATGTCTTAAAGTCTTAATTTCTTACTCTTCTGTATGCATGTTTTTCATGAATAAGCCTCTGTACTGATGACGTCACACTTTGTTTACATGTGCACTTTCCCATGGAGCCAGTGGGGGCCCACGGTCCACTGAGCACCACAGGAAAGCACACACGTAAACAAATTGTGACGTCATCAGTACAGAGGCTTAATACGAGTAACTTCATGATTAAATCTTGGAACGAGTCAAAGACAATAGCAATCTTGACCATGAGCAGAAACAAGAATAACCAGCCTGTGTTCTCATCCCGATGTCATATGATATTTGGACTCATATGGAAATCTGGTCTGTTTTACCTTATATGGACTCTGACCCTCGCACGTGACCCGTCACTGTCCTAATAAGCCAGTTCGGTATTCCAAAATAGTCTGGTGCACAGCAAGATTCGACGATTTTTTTCCGGGATAACCGCGGCAGATAAATGCACACAAGGCTATGGGGGACGTGGTAAATCTGCATTCTGTGTAATTTTCGTGCAATCGAAAAGAGATGGAAACTTTCGTTCCCAGAAAAAAAAGTTTTGGATACACAAGACACCTAAAACACTTCGTTGTCCAAATGTTGTTTGCACAATGTTACTTCAGAACACGATGATCTCTTCAAGTTTGCTGGTACCCCGCTATGCTTTTGCACGCATACGATGAAATGTTTATCCCGAAAGAAAAATCGTCAAATCTTGATGTGCACATGCGCAGTTGGAATACCGATCTGGCTTATTATTATCTTCACTTAAATATGCGCAATACCAACCAATGGGTTCGTGTTTCATAAGAGTCCACATTCCTCACTACACCGGACCCAATTCACAAAAGGCGTCAAAGTGATTGTAATGCCCTTTTAATATCACTAATCTGTGTTTATAAATTTCTAAAATGAATTTCTGAAACGTGTTTCCTCTGCAGTAACATACTTTTCTGTTGTCTTTTTACATTATATAGATGTACATGTATAATAGCAGATGTCTATTAACCACATGGGCATCCCCCATTTTGTCGAAAAGAAAAGAAAACAGGGCGCCATCTACCGTTGGATCCTTCTCACCTCCACACCACACGATTACTTCAGATTCGTAACTTTTGGATGAACTTAAAATGTTTGTGTTATGACATACTTATTTTTGTGCAATTTGTGTATTTTGTGTATTGCTCTAAAACCTTTGAAATATTGCGTCTCTGTTCACAGCTAATTTTAATTGGAAATTTGTTTGATTTATTGCGTGTACACCTACGAATAAATTATCCGTCCGATAAAATAAACACTTCTCTGCAAATATTTTAGATCTGTTTACCCCTTGGGTTTTTTTCACTGCATTTTTGTATCGACAAACGGCAGGTCGACCTCATCGGAAACTGGGTCAATTTTATTCACCGCTTCTTCTGGCGCCATCGGGACTTTGATATACACAGCAGACATCGGGCATAGAAAAAAAAGTAATACAATTGAAAAAAAAAATCTGTCGTTATTTATCCGTAAGCTATATATCTCCGGTATCGAACTGTTCCACCTCGGTTGACTTCATACAGACGGCAACAATGCAAAATAAGTGGATAAGCTTGACTTGTGAAGTTGAATCTCTCGATGGATACAAAAGAGAATCTAACTGCGGGCTATGAAAAAAACGCCGGCCCAAAAAAATATACCTGGCAAAGACTGGAACAAAACGGAATCCACGATATGGATGACTTTGGTCCTTGTAACGGTTCCATCGTACTCGTGTGTTGGTCTGTCATGGTTGGGTTGTTATGGTGGTCTTCTCTTTGTGGTTCGCCTGGTAGTAGAGGAATCCTTTGACTTGCGGTGGCCCGGCCATGAATTGTCTGATCGTGAACTGGAATTAAAAAGGGTAAAAGCAACTGGGGTACAGATAGTGTTGAGGGTTATATGGGATGGGGGCAGCCGCTTGCAGGGGCGCTCCGTCGGGTTATCAGTGCATATTTACGGGAGTCCATGAAGTTTGGGGTTACCAGTACAATTGGAGTGTTTCATCGACCAGTTAACGGTAGGAATTTCGATTTATCACCTCCTAGCGGTAAATTGTATATGTAATTTATGCTAAAACATGATGTGCGGTTGTGAAAAGTTTTGACATGTACGCAGGGAACAGTTGTCTCAATGTACGATGCAACTTGCAAAGGTCGTAATCCCGTGACAAACCAGTACCGTGACGTGTGGGTGATGTACATTGTACATGTATATCGTTATTGATGACCACGCATGCTCACATGCAGACAAGCCATTTTCATCACGAAGAAATTGTATCAGAAATTGACTAGGGAATTTTCATGGCATGCGTGTATGCCAGGGGGAGGGGTGGGCGGGGGGCGGGGGGGGGGGAGTTTGCAACCACGCTGTTCAGCAGCTTTCACAATGTTTTCCAGAGGTATGTCCCAAGACAAGGGTGGATCCAGGGGAGGGGCCAAAGGCGGCCATTCCCCCCCTAACAAAAACGAACCCATTAAAGGCACGCACTGCGTACACCACGATCTTTTCCTCAAAATAAATTGGTTAAAGTGTTCAGAGATTGCCTCAATCCAAACATGTTTCGGGGCCTAATTGTCGGTTGTTGTTTCGGTACATTGCAGTAAGCCAATGTGCAAAGTTTTCTCACAAATGTTTTCAATGAGCAAATTTTGGGTTCACAATTCGAACAGAAAACCCCTAAAGTGAACAGTGTCTTCCTGAAATGACATCACAGCAACAGCGCCCTAATTTGTCAGGAAAAGCATGGAACTTTTTTAATGTTAAAAAAAGGGCACTTTCGATAAAATTAACCAAAAAGGGGTGTCATAAAGATTTCATACATTTAAGAGGAGTAGAAACTTGCACAAAATATGTTCCCAAGTAAGATTCATGTCATGGGCCCTTCTAGGCATACTTCGTTCGTGTACCAAATCAACAGAGATTTCTTGTCGCATGATAATAGCGCAAACTTACCCTTAATGCTTACGTGTACGTTTTTGAAAGTAGCCCATCACAACGGTCTGGAAAGACTGCTTAGCGAGGGCTTTACGAGAGGGGGCAGGGGAAAAACTCAGATAAAAAGTCAAAGGAAGCTCAGTAAAAAAAAGTGTTTTACTGTCATGAAATGCCACACTTAATCCAGTCAGATCAGGTCAACATCTACAGTAAACATGCAGAGGCAGCAGGCCGCGACGAGAACAGACATCAAAGAGACACTGCCTATATCAAAGCCATGATGAGACGTCAACCGTATCTATTTTCCCCCATTGTCCTTTTATTCTCTGTTTTGGGTCGGGGCTGCGACTCTTGTCTAGCCTATTTAAAACGCGTTCAAGGCCGCTGGCTCTAGCCCTTTCGGAATGTGTGGCACGGTAGGCCAAGTTTATCCGTGCGTGCACAAGCGCGCCCCTATCGGCTGAAAATGGGGACCTTGGCTGTCTGAGTGACATGGACAGGTTTTCGAAACCACGGCCTCGTTGTCGGTTCGCCTCCATCTCTGGCTTTGGAAACAGTTTTACAAGGAAACCTTGGTCTCATGTTGGAAGATTTGCTATTCCTGAAGTAGAATAAGAACCCACAATATGCCGGTTTAGGTGTTCCTTGCCACTGTTCCAGTCATATTCATGATTGCTCTCCCTATAGCTTTGACATTCGAGTGCGCTCTTCCTCTTAGGCCTAGGCACTCATTTTTTAAGTTATTAACATATTACTTTTTTGCACATAATATAAAACACGTAATATAATAAAAAGTCGAGTTTAAAAAGATGGTGGAATATAAGGTTACATTGTGATGGTTTTAAATAGTTTTACGAAACTATTTGATGTAGGTTTATAATTACTATTATGCCTTATACCTTATTTTCAACAGTGATGCCTAAATCTTTCCTGATCAAGAAACGGGCAAACTCGACAGGGGGAGGGAGAAGAGCCTATAGACCGCTCTTGGATGAAAAAGGTAAGGCCAGGGTCGGCGAGCAGCCATGAATTGTTTTCACATATCTTGCTTTAATTTCTGTCTTTTTTTCCTTCAAAAACATGTTATAGTAAATTTCACTTCTTTTAAAAAGAGCGTTGGATTTTGTTTTTCAAGCTCACCGACCGTGCAGTTGTACCGTAATTTGGTACTTGCTCATCCGTGCTGCTCTTGCATGATCGATTATATCCAATCTGTATATTTCCTTTTCATGAAGGAGACTTGCCAAACGATGAACTTCGACCTTGTACTGCCCTCAACGACGAGAGTGAAGTCATCGAACCGCTGGATCTGATTGTCACCAGGGTAAGTGGCCTGGAACTCAAATTGCGTTATATACATGGCTCTTGAAGATTTTGTTCTTTCACATAATTTGTTTTTTATCTGATTTCTTCTTTAGTTAAAGCAATCCTCCTATATTCTAATTCCATCTGCTTGTGTTAGGATCGAGCCTTGGGCGTCATAAGCGGCATATCGCACTTGATACAAAAACCACCGGGCCAAAATGTGGAAAATCGAAAGTCATTATGTTGGGACTACAATAATAGAAGAAGAAAGATAATTATAGAAGTTTGGGTAATTTTTGTCTATAATTTTTAAGGTTAAAGGTGACGAGCTGGGAGACAAAGAGATCCCGGATAAAGTGGACACCAGCGTATTTTCAGACAGGGGACATGTGAGATTAGAAAGAAGTACCAGCGACCCAACTGGAACCCTTCCCTTCCGTAACCCGTCAGGTAAAAGGCAGTGCAGGGCGGCGGAACGCTTTTCAAACTGGGGGGGGGGGGGGGGGGGGGTGAGCAAAACCAAAAATGGGCACTTATCCGGAAAAAGGGCACCTTCCGTCGGTGTTAAAGTGAGAGCCCTTTTGCCTCCGCAACGGTGGATCCAGAACACCATTTTTTTGGGAGGGGGGGGGCAGACAAATGTGTCCGCAAAGAAGTGGGTCCACAAATTCACGGCGTGGGGTACGGGGCCCGCTTTAAGGCCCACGGGGGGGGGGGGGGATTCTAGATGCTCTGTGGTGCGATCCGAGGCAATTTCTGACCACTTTAACCATTTCGTTTTGTAGGAAAATATGGCGGTGTATGTAGTGGCTGCCCTTTTTCCATTTACAGATTCAATCATTCATTAATCGCTACTATTGAATTTCAAAGTGATCCATGCCTTTCCCTCGGTAGAAATTCCATCGTTAGACTACCCCATTCACCTCCCGACTGCGGCCTACGAAGGTCCGAGCCACGGTTACTATGACGACGACATGCGCCCTCCAGCGGCACTCCACGTCCAGCCAGGGGTCGGCTACTTCAGCCGGCGTCTGCTGGCCTGCAAGCTGCAAGGCAGCCGGAATGTTATTGGACGAATTAAGCGCCACCACTGTCCCTTCTGCGCCAAGGGCTTCAACGACAAGTTCGACCTGAAGCGGCACGTCCGGACGCACACAGGTCAGTGCCGCTTAAGGGTCAAAGTTCGCTGGTCTGGTAACCTGACCTCAGCGTCGTCTTGAGCTGTAAATGTGATATGTTATTAATCCATTTCATTTTTTCTTGGGATAAACTAAGGACTTGTATACATCCAGGAATCATTAGAGAGGGAATGATAAAGGGAATAAATGTTAGTTGAAGGTGGGGGGGGGGGAAACCGAGGAAGCCAACAATTGTTTCTGGGACGTGTGAATAGCTCACGTCAACAATGATGTACTCCATCTAGTCTAGTCTCAAGTTGCACCAAATGAGATTTGAACCATAGGACCCTAGTCATTTCCAGCAAATATGGGGACAACATTATTGTACAAACATCCCCATGCGCACATTTCGGACTTTGTGAAACGTAGGCTCCGTATCCGGTTCGGCTTTGTGCCTGAGCGTGAATGATAATTAAGGCTTTGGTCCCTGAATGTAGATATTCCAATAAAGGGCGAATTTTTGGTTTGTTCTTCTACACCATTCAATTTATACAGGTACATGTAATTGGAATTCGACGTTTTAGTCCTTTAGAATAGAAAATGCCTATTGTCAGGTATTTTACGATGCCAGCGTAACTACCCATCCGCAAAGATGATTATGTACTTGGTGATTGGTTTCCTGTGTTATGTATGCAATTAGATAGGACCTACACTGAAATACTGGGGGGGGGGGGGGAGGGGGGTGATGTGTTTGATTTTGAAAGGGTCTGTGTGCGCTTTGAGTATCTGTGATGATAACGTTGTTGTGGAATATTGAACGACGGGGTGAGGCAAAAAGCCGACCTAACTTGTTTTCCCTGCTCGTCTGAAACTCTGACGTTTCTTTCGTCTTCACAGGGGTGCGACCGTTCAAGTGCGACCAGTGTTTCCGTGCCTTCACCCAGCGCTGCTCCCTGGAGGTGCACCAGCGGAAAGTCCACAACATGATGCTCAACTTCGCCTTCAAGCAGCGCCGGGACAAGGTCTACGTGTGCGAAGACTGCGGCCATTCCACGGACGACATCAACGAGCACTACGCCCACTCGGTGCGGGAGCACCGGGCATCGCTCGACCCCATCGACGTGACCAACGCCGTGCCTGCCGGTAAGCCCACCCAGCTTGCACACCTCTTGGCTCGGGCAAGCATGGTGCCGGCCGGGCCCGCTCCGGGCGTTATGGGTCCTGCCTTGCCCATAGGAACCCATCAGGACTTTATTTAAAGTCTGCGGTGTTGTCAGGAAATGCCGAGGAGGTACGGGCGACTCGAAGATCTATTTTTTAAATGGAAGGTGTATTCAGATGAACGTAAATTTGATGTTTGTATCGAGACGAAATCTTAATTAAGCAATTGCGATGCATTCTCCTGTGTCGCGAAGCACACATCTTATTTGCATACAATTTAACTGTGTGTTTAAGGTTACTGTTGGTTTGCAGTATTTTTTCTGTTGTGAATGTTAATTTCTATAGTGAATTTAAGGGAATAGAAATGTCCGCTTTGTCAAACGGGTTCCACAGTAAAATTTTTAAATTATTTAACCAAGAACGAAATCGGGTTCGTTTATTCCTTGATGTTCGATGCCAGAAGGGGAAAATGTCATTACTTAAATTAATAACGGGTATCACAAACCACGTTACCTAATTATCTTACCTCATAGTGACTAAGTTTCAAACAAATGTATTTCCTATTTCAACTGGGTAGCCCATTCAGTGGAATCCACTGGTCTTCTATAGGGGCCCAGTAAAAATTTGACAATGTGAAGAAATTACACTCTTAGACGTGGGACGAAAACCTCAGAAGAGTATTATGAGGGAAAACCACAAAATCAAGTTGGGACTGAAAACCCAATCCACATGTTGGCCCAGGCAGGAATCGAACCCGGGTCACGGCGGTGGAAGGCGAGGAAAGTACCGCTAAGCCAACCTGACTCCCCCCCCCCAAAAAAAAATGGCACCTGCTAGTCATGCCCCCCCCCCCCAATATTATATCCTGAAAGGAAACCTCATTGGAGAACATTTCTCAGAGGTTTTCTCAACTGGGGTGCCAGGCAGATTTCCCAGAATTGCAAAAGTTAAGAAAAAGGTGGGAGAAGAAAGAAAAAGAGAGACAATGCATAACTGTTGTATGTTTTATAAAATACATTATATAAATGAAATATATTTCAGAGCACTTAAATTGCCATAAAGTTTCAGACTTACATTTTTAGGTTCAAACGGAAAGTAAAGAATGAGTGCTATTTTCAGAGAAACCTTTTCTAATGATTTTTTTAACTTTTGAAGAAAACAAAGTACAATTTTCAACTAATATGGAAGGGGAAAGGCAAGTCTTTAGACCTTTGCACACTTCACTGTCTTCTGTGAAGTTTGTTTTCTCAACTATCTCTATCGGCCTTTCTGTTTGCAAAAGAAAAAAGTTGTACATTTTATATGCTTGTATATTTTTCTAATCATTTTTACCTCAAAGGAATTGTTGTGATTTCTTTTCGGTTGTTGGCTTTTGAAGCCCATTGTGGCACTATTTTATTTTTAAGATCAAATCTGAAATAAGGTTTATGCGGAGCAGCTTGTTATTAAAAGGTTAATCATCTATGCAGGTTATATTTTATAAATAATACTATTATATAGCAAAGTGAATTATTTTTATGTGGGTATTTCTGAAATAAAGATCCAGGGAGTTTACTATAATCAAGGTAACAAGTGCTCTGCTTGACTTCCGTTGATGTACATGTCCATACCTGAAGACAACTTTTAAGCTGATAATCTCTGTAATGATTTCTTCTCTTCCTTATCATCTGTTTTGTTTTGCTTGTTTGTTTGTTTGTTTGTTTGTTTACCTTGTTACACAGCAGGTGCGGCAGCCGCTTTAATGTGTAGGCCTCTTCCACGCAATTGCGATATGCTAATAAAATAAGTACATGTAATCGTTACATTGAAGAAATCCACTTTATTTTGCTGCCTTGGTTAAAATGTCACACAATCTAAGCCCGGAATGTAATTGTTCTCAAACTGCGCGCAAGTCTTGAGCCGAAAAGAAATTTACGCCTGGCACCAAAATGGGTGTGATTATCTTTCATTGTGTTTGGTTGCCCCGTTGGCCCTTCAGATAAATAGGAAGAAATGTTCCATCTCCCGTGTTTTATATTAAGGGTATGATCCAATAATACAATTAAGCACAATGACCATAATTATAAAGTATTGATTGCGGTTCCAGTATTCAAACCGGCCAGCCGACCCCGGCAAGCACGGTGGCCGAGTGGCAAGACGTCTGTACTAGCAAGCAGGAGGTTGTGGGTTCGAGTCCCACCCGAGTGATAGGGCTATCCTTGCAAATCCAACCTGATGACCAGTCAACAGTGTGGAAGTGCAGAAGCTCAATCATCACTCTCCGTTGTACCCTCTTGACTCGTCCGAAGGTATCGGCACTGCCTCAGTTCCCTCATCATCTGTCTCATTCGCACGTCCTCCTCACTGGTATTAACAGCAGCCTTAACGGACGTCTGTCCAGGAAACGATAGCGCCCTCTGTAGTGGCGGCTTCTTGCGCTCTTTACCCTGGATGAGGGCGTCCTGCTCCTCACGGTTCAGGCTCCTCAGCTGAGCGATGGAGCGCGGTCCTCGGGTGGTTGTGGACTGCAGCGGTGTGGCTGCAGCGGTCGACCGCGGTGAAACTTGTGGCTCAAAGGCGGTCGTTGTCGGTGGCAGAGACGGCACAGTCTGCCGGTTGCTCGAAGCTGCCTGAGGTACGAATCTGGTGAAAGGCGTACGGGCGGTTGAACTTGAAGTCACGGTGGCTGAAACCGGTCTTTTGGTTGCGTGCTTTCCTTCCATTTTTGCTGCTGTTATATGTAAACCGTATTGAATATCCTGGCTGGCTCGCCAATGCGTCCGATAGTACCGTATATCAAATGGCAAGCATCGGGTTGCTATGCCTTTAATATGCCACAAGAAATATAACGCGTTGGATTTTGTAAAGCTTGTTACAGAAGAGTTATTGCGATCCTAATTTTCTTGAGAAGTTTTTAGACGAGAAGAGATGACGTACGTTTCGTGCACGATGTAGTGGCTTCTAGAGGTCATAAACGAGAAAATAACGATCCTTTGAGCGGGTGAATAAAAGAAACCCCACAGATAGCGAAATGCAAGTGGCCGATCCTCATCAGTGACTAGATAGGTTGACTTCTAAAAAACGCCATTAACTGCGGATGATATTCACCTATCACTATGCACACAGTCCAGGTGGCAATTTTCAAAGCCTTTCAGCGATCCTCTTTCCCCCAGTAAGGTGAGTACAGAAATGAGGCTGATCTGAAAGTGAGATCTGGCGTCCTGTCGTAGTTTGTCTTTACCAGGCAGGTAACAACAATTTTCGGAGATAGGGGAACCAGTTCATTGTATTGTCCCTATTCACTGTCGACTTCCATTACTGCGAACTGATCACAATCTTTTCCCCTGGCACCTTCGCGCCTTTTCTGTCTCTGCACGGCACATGATGAACACTGGGTGATGTATTATTCACATCATTTCCAAAAGAAGCGAGAGCTGTCTTCCTATTTGCTCGGTCAACAAACCTTGCCTCCGGAGTATCCAATCACTCACGATGTTAGATGGCACGTTCAAGTTCGAATGTCGGGCGCAGTGAGTTAATATAAAACTGATAGTGATTGGCGGCTGCCCAGCACTCTCTCACAATACCATAGCTGCGCTGACTCGTATAGATCTTTTGGTCATCGTACAACTGATCCTCTTTGGACAAATATTAACACAGGACAACAGCGCAGTGTAAGTTTGGCTGTCACATCTCAAATTTGGCTCTGCCGGCCACGAACACTGGTCTCCCGTTCAGCCAACGGCACGCACACACGGTTGCTGTAATACCGCCCGTATTATGTGTGCAGACGATATCTGCAAATTTATGGCGGGAAAAGTTTACACTGCGTGCAGCACGTTGCTTCGTGTTTGTTTCCCTATCTATACCGCTCAGTATATATACGTGGTGTCGATAAGAGGTGTCATGTGGTGATGAAAATGTGGCTGCGAGCATCTGCCACGGTTGCCACGGGCAACACTGGAAGAGCAAACCCTTCAACGTGACAGCAACAATTACCTTGTGCACTACAACCTCGTTGGTTGCCAACGGCTGTTTGACGTCTGATTCCCTCAATTATTAAATACAAAAGTAACTTATTTAGTCAACCGTGTTATACTATGCAATTATTCTGTTCGATTATATTTTGGTAACAAACATATTATTGTAAAAACATTATTTATTTTTTTAGTTTATCTTATATTTACAGAATAACCAGTTTAATGCTGTTTACGAAAACAGAGAGTAAACCTCCAGATTAAAACTAAAAACTAGTGTGGCGGGACTCGAACCTGGAACCTAAGATTGAGAGGCTAGGACATCTGACCATGAAAACCCGTCTATTTCATAGACAATAAAATAGCTATCGATGTGCCAAATCACAGGGGATTCTCAATGGACGGGGCGATCTCAAAAAGCTGATGGGATTATTATTTTTTTTGCACTGAGTGCAATGTATTGTAAATTGGCCTACACGAGGCTCCTGGTACACTGTACTAAACAATTTTGGGTATTTCGGCGGGACAAAAAGTAACGATCAGTACGCCTAGAAGACCTTGAATTTAAACCTGATCCCCATTTAGAAGAACCAGGGGCTTCGCTAGGGGATGTAGGGTACGTCACCCACCTTTATTCGTTTTTGTTGGCAAAAACGTGTACCTATATAACGGCTAACTCGTGGGACTGTTGCCATGATTGCTGTAACGAATAGCGCCACCGATTGTCCGATATTGTCAAGTCTCGTCGGATTTGAACAGCGCCCCTTTTGCCAGCCCTTCGCCACACACACTTTCTGATTTTGATTTGAGGCAGTTTGATGACCCATCCTCCCTCACCCACCCCCCCAAAAAAAATGCTATAGCTACTTTCCAGCAATGAGGATCTATCGGCATATTGCTTTCATCCTCCATTCAAACTGGCGCGTCGACTTTCCTACCTGCTACGGCTGCTCACGACATGCAACAGCCGTCGTGTTTCCGTACACCACCGTTTTTCTTCCACCGGACGAGGGGGAAATTGGATTGGCGTAGTAAATTCGATTTTCAGGCAGGCTGTTGATCCGTTTTTTTAGTCCAGCGTGCGCGCTCTTCAGTTCTCTGTACTGTTTACCCATGTCCTCATCATTTCCGTAGGTTGAGTGCCGCCGCGGGCGGGTCTGTTGCCTTGACTTGCGATATGAAAAAGCAATATGAATCGTCTCGCTTCATGGCGCCGGGGTGAGGCTTGTGGCACGCCCTACCTAGTGATGGAACCATTCCAATTAATATTAACACGTTCGCTGACGTGACGTGTAGACGGTGTCGTATTCAGCAAGTACGGTTCGGCATCAAGGGCGCCCCCATCGAATCAGTGTCACACTCGGCCTCAGTGATGCGAACATTCTTGTTGACGTGTAGTTGGTTTCACGTTTTAGACATCCTAATATTTATTTTATTATATGTCTATGGTTTTAATAAGATGACAACAGTGGCGCCCTCTTTTAGATAATAATTGTCACTCACCTTCATGTGATAGGAGCATTCTAAATTATTTTAACAATAAATGGAGTTACTCGACAGCGTCTTGGTTAAGGAAAAAAAAAAAGGGGGGGGGGGTGCGCTTTCGTTCTTTAAATTAGCAAACGGGTCACACCTAAGAGTGAAAGTACGAAAGAAAGCCGCATTTGCATTAACTTCAGAATAATGCGAAGTACTGTCATTTTTAAAAGAGAGTTTTTAATCGCACATCATTGTGAAGAATGGTTCGTTTGGGTGTTCTTTTTAAGAGATCGGTTTTTCTTTCTAAGAGGTGTTGGAAAATTGTACGTCTTTATCCTCAGACATGCATTTGACCTGAAATGTTCTGACAGCAATCATGCAGTCGAGGGCGCCCTACAATTGCTGGGTTACACCAATACAAAAAATACAGCAAGAATAACGAGATGGTGTCATATGAAGATGTCGTTTTATTCCAAAATATTGAAGATAAAATAACGAATCAAATTGATTGGAATGTCAATGACAACATTGATAAATCCACAACAGCTGACTGTTATGATCGAAGGCGTAACAGACATAACTGAAACATGATTCAGACCAAATCGCGGATATAGAGACATTTTGTTTTAGAGAAGAAAAAAATCACTACGATCACCTATGGTTATAGCGCCACCAACGGAGACGATGTACTCATACTTCTATTATGTAGAGGGCGCTTTAACCGAACAGCGCGTAAAGATGGAAGTTTAACAATAATTATCGGCGTCAAAGAGGGTGCAGACCTGTAAATCGACTCCCATATACCTCAGTGATAATTAAGCGTACTTCTCAAAATTATTGAAAATACTCACAACTCTCCAAGGTGTTTGAGACACCCATCAAATTAACACTTATTTCATCATCTTTTATTAATCTGTTATATTTTCGAGTGGTAATCCAATGGGAGAAAATTCCATCCAAAGATGATCACCCCTAAAGTAGTCCAGAAAGCCCATCGCCATTTTGAAACATGATGCCCACGCTCCACTGCAAAAAAGAGCAATTTTAGGGCCCCATTTCATCGGCATTTCACAGAAATACGAGCTCACACTCCTGTGCACGGCTTCCACCCATCTTGTTTTTACAAACCTTCAAGTTCATGGTCCACAAAATGCTCTAATAGCAAAGAAATTGAGGGCATACAAATCGTGATTTGGCCCGGCCGCGAAGGCAATTCTTGGCCTTTTTACAGGTCTGCATCCTGAAGATATCACAGTACCTGCACAAAATAATGAGTACAGGAACAATTTTGTTCCCGATTCCCGTGTTGCATTATCGCCATTCCGAATACGAGAGTTTGAAAAATGTTTTTAGCGAAGTCTACGTTTCTAGTTGGTTTTATGGTCAGCTATAACGATATTTATTGGCAGTTCGCTCAGTGCACAGTATTCTATGTGCTTGTTACTCGTCCGATATTATAGTCTAGGCTGATATATTCATTTTCCATCTTTTTTTTTTATTGCCATCAATATTTTCTCCCTTTTGCATCAAAGTCAAACGATTGTGATTTCGGGATTATCTTCATTGATTAATTTCAATTATCAATATTCGGTTTCCGTATCGACAGGCACGTTGTAGTCAATCTTCGAATCTCGCAGATTGAATCTCAAAATCGAAAGTCGAAAGTATAGAAAAATATATCAATGTAGTAATTATTTTTTCATTACTTTGTACAAAATCACAAATACATCAAAACAATAATGATTTATTTATATCTCATCCACCTCAAGCACAACAAAACCCCGTTCATTATGTCGAGTCTGGTTCCCAAAACCTAAAGATTTTGACTATCTAAAGTACTTCAGGTACGTTTCGAAATATCTGAATATTTCCGAACACATTTTCGTTGGCATTCGGATGTCTTCGCGATAGTTCGGGTTTTTCCGGGTTTAACACGGTCAAATTTGCCAACAAAATACTTGTCATGCTTGCATGCAGTCCTAAAAGGTTCGTTAAATCGATGCCCGCATTTTCGAAGTTATCGGCGCACTCGGACACGTCGAATTAAGGCAGGGCGTTGCTGGGTCATGCTGCGTTCTAATTTTGAATGCATCGGTTGCTACCCCACTTACGATCTATTACGAGACGTCAGGGTGTCGTCAGGTCAGGGAACCAGACAAGCATCCGTCTCTCAATTTCATCGACGGAGGGCGCTATTCGTTTCCATCGAGGGAAATACCCTTCGGTTATCAAACTCTCGTCGTGGCCTCAACTGGCACACTACCGTTACGGAGAGGGCGCCCTATCCTCCCGCACTGCGAGCAGTGGCAGCAGCAGTGGCAACTTGCCTGCGACGCCGACCTCGCGTAGCCCGCGCTGCTCCATCGCCGATGTGAGGGCGCTATTCTCTCCGAGGCCGATCTGCGCAGTGGTCTGTCGGGTCTGCGCAGTGACCCGTCGGAGATGGTGGCGATCTCCATGCGCACCTTGGTGTCCTTGTTGTTGTTGGTGTTCCTGCTGCTGCTGTGGGTGCTGCTACTGCTGCTGTTGCTGCTGTCCGTTTTGTTGACTCGCTGGAGGGTCTTCTCCACCTGTCGCTCGATGTAAGAACGTCTGAGAAGAGAGGGGAAAAAAGAACTGGGTCAAAAATCTGAATAGGGCTCCGTGCACAAGTACCCCTTCAACGTCCAGAAAGGGAGAGCTGGGGGAGACATATTGTACTGGTTCCCGGTCCATCCACTGCGTATTTCGAATGATCCAAAGCTATAGGGGCGGGGATTAGTCTGAGAGACCAGTGCAATTTAAATTGCAACTCGTCTCGAGGCCCTATCGATAATGACTCGACTCGACTCAACTCGAGTCCCTATGGGTAAATGACTCTACTCGACTCGAGTACCTATGGGTAAATAACTCGACTCGACTGGAGTCACTGTGAGCAAATGACACGATTCGACTCGAGTCCCTCACCTTGTTTGTTCACAAGGGCGGATCGGGGGGGGGGGGGCAACGGGGGCCATGCCCCCCCCCCCCCAAAAAAAAACCCAGAGCCAATTATTTTGGTTTTTAAGCGGCGTCGTAATAAAGGCAGGCACTGCGTACACCACCATCTTTTCCTCCAAAAGATTTGGTTAAAGTGGTCAGAAATGGCCTCAGATCGCACCACAGAGCATCTAGAATCCAATTTTTTTCCGGCCCCTTCAGCGGGTCAGTTTTTGGGGACCAAAAAAACCCAGTGTGTTCTGGATCCGCTCTTGTTTGTTAATGAGAGGAGTTTGTTTACGAAATGGAATTAGATTGACTGAGGAGTTGTGTGATTTGGTTATCAATCACGAACCATTTATCATCCAGGAACTTTGTCATTAGCGCGAAGTATACACAGCACTTTACAATCTGGTCGTAAATTAGTCGTTTCAATATCGGGCTGGAAGAGACTGCTGGCCAATCAAAACGATGACTGCGGCAGCCCGGCCCGTTTTAATTGACCAGCGGACACCGTTAAATTCCCTGGAGTATCGCGAATCGCGAAATAGTTTATGGCCAGTTGCACCGCGCGTGCCGCGTGACGGTTTGTAAATACGAGCAATTCAAAGAAACTAGTTGTGCGTGGGCGTTCCACAACAATAACTGAAATCACTATCGATCACTGACGTCTTGAGCCAAGACCAGTTGTGTCCCTGAGCAAGCAACTTTACCCACATTTCCCTATCTCCAACCAAGAATGTGGGTACCAACATTAGCTGGTAACCTGCGTTTGATTGGCATCCTGTCCATGGCATCAGTAGTTTCATTCCGGGAAATAAGAGGTAAACGCAGGCCTGATGAGCGGTGTTCGTTCCGGTTATCTTCTTTTTTTCCTTTTTTGAATGACATTCAAATTTACCCTATGAACAGAAAATCCGTTAACGAAAAGAGAGCGAACAGTGAATTTACAGCTATAGTCAGGCAGATTGGTACACAATATGACGAAATTGTTCATTTGATGACAATAGCTAGAAATTTGGCACACAGACAGAGTATGTAATGGAAAAGATCTTTAGCTATAGATTTGTCCTTTGAAAAATATCAAAGCATACCATGGCCGCCATTTGGAAAATTCTGAAAATTGCTTGTTTTTCTATGAGATTGTTTTTAAAGGACAAATCTGCGATGGCCCGATAGCCAAAATAATATCTTTCCCATGACACACTCTGACTGTGTGCCACATTTCACGCCTTTATCATCAAACTGAACAGTCTTAACACCAATCTGCTGTGAGTACCGGTAAGTAGACCCATGACATTTGGCTCATAAGCATTTACAAGGACTATGTATGGATCACAACAATGCAAATCAATGGAAAATGGCAACCGATACAAGACTATTATGCAGTCATTCACTAGTTGCATGATCACACACGCACAGTGTGGGCAGGACGCGTCAAATCATCAGTCTTGCACGAGCGTAACGGACCACCCTAACGTCCATAAACGGTGACAAATGTACAGTTTCCTGCATGTGATTTTTCCAGGCGTGCCCAAGCACAAACTCGGTTCGTTAAGTTCATTTTTCGATCCGCATTCGCGCCACAAATAGCTCACCCGGCCTCCACAAAGTTCAATTTTCGCATCAAGGTGTTGTTGCCAAACCCCGGTTTCCATAGCAACCGATAACCAACACGCAAGAAAACATTCTGATCAAAAAGAGTGTGTTTTGTTCTTGGAGTCACGGCATCAACGTTTTCCAGGGCGCCTGAACTTTTCCCCACTTTTAACTGATTTTTGGGTTGCATTAAACTAAGGAAGAAATTTAATCATAGATTTCGATCCTGTGGCAGTGATGGGCTTGAAGCCACGTTTCATCTAGGGCACCAAATTTGATTTCGCTTTTTTTTCCCCATAAATTTTAGTTTGTGAACAGTGAGTGACATGGTTTTTGGTACCGGCCATTATAACCACAAGCACGTTTCCCCATATTTTGGAAAGTTTAGCAAGATTAGCGTGGACAGATCAATTGTCTTTCCAAGTGCCTAATTTAAGCAAATTCTCAATGAGCAGGTAATACCCTGCTGACCAATAGACCTTATACACAAGGAAGCCATATTTAATAGTGCTCCGTGAATGTATGTTATATACTGTAAACTATTGAATGGGAAGGTGCCGTTCCAAGCTAGTCTCACTTTCAATTAATTTTTTTGAAATAAGGGAATAAATGTGTGCTTGGCCGGTTTCAAACATTATGTTTAAGACCGGTTTGGAGTCTGGACGTTGATAGTTATCCTCGCCGAACACATTCATAAATACCTTTTCGGCCAAACTAGTCAAACAGTAGAAACAAGTTAAAAATTATGAATTTCCAACGAGTTTGTTCAACAAGTTACTTCATGTTTTTTAAACACCCCTCTAACTATTTTATAGTATGTGCCTCTCGCGAGCAGTCGTAAACAACTCATTATTTGGAGATTGGCGTGCGCGTTGCGCGTACTGTGCGTACCTTTCAAATACAATAATAGTAACACGCAAAGATCGCTGGATTGCGTTGCGCGTTGCGCGTACTGCGCGTTGCGCGTACTGCGCGATGTGGCGCGTACTGCGCGACGTGGCGCAGAACGCATCTGTCCCAGTGTAGTGTGAATTTAGGATTGTGAAATACAGACTCATTAGTAGTATTGCGCATGCCTACCCGAGGACTGTGAACGTTCAATCAATAAAAGGTTAAAAGGGACCGATGTTTATCGACCGTTTAAGACCAGCATCATGACGGACTCTCGAAAAATATGAATGGGCGGACTGTATTTATGAATGTGGCTTAAAACATTAGGGTATGTTTAATCAAAACATTTAAATTATTCATCAGAGCAGACTGATATTAATTTTTAATATTAACTTTCATTGTTTTCATTTCTATTCGCAAGCTCCAAAAATGAAATTATTGATAATCTAAGGAATGCATGGTGTATATAATAGTCAGGGCCCCATATTACTATCTCTTAGTGAGCCTTACCTGCTTTTGACCATGGGGTTCTCGATCGTGTACCCCTTATCTTCCTTCAACTTTTCCGGGTCCCGGGTCAGCTCCACCATGTGGGCGAGTCGCCAGTGCAGGATGTATCGCTTGATGCCCGCCCCCGCGAGTCCAAGTAGGGCCAGTCCCACCAGACACGGCATGATGATCAGGATAGAAGGCTCAGTGTGGATCTCCGATATGATCGTGTACACGCTGCTCTGCTTGGCGCTCTTGCCCTCGACATTTACTGTGAAAACGATACCAGTAATACAATATTCAAACTAGGTTTTGCCCTTCACCGACGTTTAAACACTGTATACTCAGTGTGTTACCTCCCGAGTGAAAGTTGGAAAAAATCACTCGGGTGGGACTCGAACCCACGACCTCCTGCTTTCTTGTGCAGATGTCTTACCACTCGACCACCCAGCTAACGGGATCGGTTGGCTGGTTCGAATCTGATGTACATAGCAGCGGGTACCGCATAAACTATTATAAGATGGAATTTTGCGTCGGGGTGATATAAATCAAACTAGGTTTTGCCCTTCACCGACGTTTAAACACTGTATACTCAGTGTGTTACCTCCCAAGTGAAAGTTGGAAAAAATCACTCGAGTGGTAAGACATCTGCACTAGAAAGCAGGAGGTCGTGGGTTCGAGTCCCACCCGAGTGATTTTTTTCCAACTTTCACTCGGGAGGTAACACACTGAGTATACAGTGTTTAAACGTCGGTGAAGGGCAAAACCTAGTTTGATTTATATCACCCCGACGCAAAATTCCATCTTATAATAATACAATATTGTTTGTTGTGTACGGTGATAGCGCCCTCAAGAGCCCTCAGTGCGCCATGTTGGCCAATGGGCCAATTTCATAGAGCTGCTTAAGCACAAAATTTGCTTAAGCACAAAAAAAGTCGCTTAATATAATCAAGATACCGGCCAAAACGCCATGCGATGTACATTGCTTGTGACTGGCATTTAGCTGCTGTTTACTCAGATCAGCATAAAAATCGAATGGATTTTTGGTCGGTAACCTGAATATATTAAGCAAAGTTTTTTGTGCTGAAGCAAATTTTGTGCTGAAGCACAAAAATTGCCCCTTAACATAACCGTTTTAACTCTGTTTGGTGTACCTTGATCCCCAAGAACTTAAATCTGATGGAAATTAAAAAAAAAAATGGCCACACGTAGCATTGCTCTTGTAACACGTAGAAGTTGTTGCAATTGTTGTTGTCGCATATGTTGAGTGTGGGGATATTTTATTGACCACTTCGTCTCCGTAAGGCGCAGCTAGAAGAAAATCATTTAGCAATCATTGTTACCAAACATTTCGCCTTCATCGTTTGTTAAGTCAAAAGGGTGCCAGTTGTAAGCTTTTGTTTCAGTTTTTTTCTTCAGTAGATGTATTTTTATGTTTTTTTGCCATCGCAAAACTCTTCGGTTTCAATTTTGTTGCTCTTTAGTATTTTTATGTTGTTTCCAAACTGCCCTTTTGGGGGAGGGGACGAAGTACGTGAGGAATTCGGGCGATTCACAATGCAGTGCGCCACCAAGAGTTTGCCATGGAGAGACTCTATTCTTCAAGTCTACGGTCGACAAAACATGAACAATTTGAATGAGTGTCAGTAGACAACTTGAGTTAATTTGTTATAGATTTGGGCATAGTGTTCTGCCGCCTTACAAAAAACACCATATTGATAAAAAGAAAACAAAAGGGGAAACAGATACTCGAATTATACGCTTACGAAACTGCTGACCGGAAAAAAAACTAACAATTGCAAATGTCCCGCGCTGCGAATTTGTCGACCATCTCCCACAATGCACTGGGGAAAAATGAACTCTCCGTGGCAAACTCTTGGTGGCGCACTGCATTGTGAATCGCCCGAATTCTTTCTTTGTAGTGTGAAATTGTAGAGGCGCTAGTCATCCGTTCATTCTTGCCACTCACTGATTCGGGTTTGAGAGAACTCCTCTGCCCCAATTTGTTTTCAGATTTTAGCAATTTGTATTTTGTCTTCTAATTAATTTGTTTGTACATATACTTGTGTTTCAGTTTTTAAGCTATTTTTGGATATGGCCAGTACTTGAGTAATTGAGATGTATACATAACACGCACGCCCTCGCGACAATAATCAGTTTCTAGTGGGGTCGGTGCACGAAACTGAACAATGTTGCGAACAGAGCCCGGGCTGAAACAAATACAAGTGACGTCACGTTTTACACGGGTTTTCTTCATCTGCACTGTATTCCTGTTAGATTAGGTGAGGGAACCAGCGAGAACTTCGATTGGGGTGCCCGCAGGCGGTATGTTTAGCAAAACGAGAAATGGGACGACAAAAAACCGTGTGCTTTGGTTGTGATTTTGCGAGGTTGGCGCCACAAAAAGTACTTTTGGCGCGAATGGTAACATAATTTACATGTAGATTACAAAGTAGAACAAATGGTTTGGTCTTTCAAATTTGGTTTTACAGAAGCTCTAACTAATCAGAGAACGTCAAAGCATCTATACACAAAAGCGGATGCCTAACTATGTTCCCCAATACCGATGTTCCCCGATATCCTTATCATATAACCCTAACCCTAACCCTAAACCTAACCCCAACCCTAATCCTAAGGATTTCGGGAACAGCGGTATTGAGGAACATCGGTTTCGGGGAACATCGGGTAGGCCCCCACAAAAGCAGCCTTTCTGCAACTAATGTTCGGCACAGTTACACTCTCGCCTGTCAATCTTCTGGTACAGCTGTCCGCAATGTCTACGCTCCTGCGCGCTCCATTAATCCAAACACCGTGTACACATCGCGATACCGATCGAGCAAACGTGACCGTGCCGACGCCGGCATCTCACCCATGAAGAAACGTGTCTGTTCCCGTGGGAAGGACGGCCTCCGGGGGGACGCCGTCAGATAAGGATCTCGGAGATTTCATTCTGTTTTTACCCCGCAGTCACGTTTTTATCTGTATCATTTCGTCCCTGCCGCGTTTTGCTCACGAGTGCGTTTGTCATGGTTGTCAGGTGTGTTACGCGTGAGGGCGTGGTCTCTGGTTTCTGACGTTCCGTTCAAAGTTCACATTTACCCATAGATCTATATTAAATTACACTTCACTGCATGGCAATCCATGTCAAGTCCGCCATATCCTCAACTGATGACTCGGAAGTGTCACTATTTTGCACGCGCATTATTCTTTCTTATTTCAAAAGAGTGAAATTTCCATCAGACGTTTAAGAGTGAAAATCACTCTAATCACTCGTTTCTTTATATAATTTTTGTTTTCGTGCTTTGTTCTTTCATGTATGTGCGTTTGATCCTGCGGAGTTACGGGAGGGGCTAGTTCCTCTTCCGTTCTCTTGTATGGAGTTGTTTTTCTAGCTTTTCAGTGGAATTAGCTTATTTTAATGTTTAATATGCGTAGCCTAAATACTGAAATGAATAAATAAATAATTGAATGTATACGCATGCGTGAAACATATCACGTGATCGAATAAAAATTTCACCTGATTTGCAATAGCTATTCTTATAGCTTATTTTCCTCGACAGCCAGCGTGGTTTCGCCATAGCATGCTGCGCTAAATCGCTGGTCTGAATGATGCAGGTTCCGGGTTAGCCTCTTGGAGGAATTTTACATTTTCTTTTTTTCCCCAAAAAGTGAATGTCTTCCCTAAATTGTGTTTGATCAAGTCCTGATGATCGATACAATCAATATCATCCTTTTATGGTTTTGAACGATTAAAGGGAAGTTAAGTCCAACCATTATGTTACCAACTGACGCACGCGCATTGCGCAGTGTGATCATCAACTATACTTGGTTGGAGTAAAAGTCAGTGTGAGCCTTTTACGAAACTCGAAAAGAATCGAATACGGTTGTTCCCGAGAAACGCAGCAATGGCACTATTTACACAGACGTATTCTAACAAGCTCGTTGACCCGACGAGCTTCATCGGCGGTGTCCTTTGCATGAATTGAACGCGAGATCTGTTTTGTTAGCGCGAGTGATCGGTGTTTTCCCCCCCGCCGCGTTTCCTTGTTCTACGCTGGCCGAGTTGACGGCGCGCATTGCGGCGTCGAGCCTGGTCAAACATGCAAAACACCATTAGCAGGCGGTTTAGGGTTGTCATGGTGTTAGCCGAAAGGCCGGGTCGCTCAGGATGGCAACATCCGTCTGTCATTATTCCCGCTGCGGTAGACGGGTTAATATTAACCTTTCCATGTCTTACACACAAAAATGGTCGTCGCAATTTTTAGTTGTAGTTTGTTTTAAAGATGTAGTCCATCATTTGTAATTTGTGCATTTTGTTCGTTTGAAGCAACAAAAGTGTTCAAAATCTAATGAAGGATACTGAACAACTAACCTGATGAAGTTTCAGCTCAGCTTCAGCTGTATATTCCGAGAAAAACAGCATTCTAGGATCTCAATTTCAAATGAAAAGTTGCTGAATCATGTTTTGAATTGTTTTGAATTGCAGCTATACGCGATGTCGCGCACTGATCAGACGAATTATAGCAACCGCGCGCGCCTGTGCGTCGTGCCAATGCTTGCGCGCGCTGCGCCGAATAACAAAACGCACTACTAATTTAAATTTTCCTACGGTGCGTCTTAAGACGCACCGTTGGAAAGGCCTTCTTTCGTTGATTACTTCAAAATGATAGCTTGCCAGAAAGATTAATTTCACAGGGAGTTTAGTCCACTTACTATCTTTCAACCGAGCATGGTTTTCAACAATAATACGCCAGTTACTTTTTCGGATGGCTGCAATTGATGGACTATAGCTTTAAGCTTCTTCATTGCGTGGCTAGCTTGCGTTGACGTACGCGGCGTACCACAGTTGCTGTGCGTCAGTGTAGCGACACTATTATACTAACGCAACTAGTAACATGAAATATATGTTGTTTTAATTACTGTTGTTATTTTTAGAAATAGGCCTACACATATTATTTTAGCTAAAATTCGATTTTTTTTTAAAGTACATGCAGGACTGAGAGTACATCTTCAAAAGAGCCGGAACGAAATCTTCTAACCTTCCCCCCCAAAAAAAAAAAAAAAATTGCTCCGAGCGCTTGTTTCGTTGATGTTTTACGAACGTTTTGACACCAGAAGTAGGCCTACTGTCCAAGTTGTTTACATTTCCCATTGGCCTCGCATATAAAACATGAAAAATGTGTGGGACTAAAAGTGAAAATAATAAATAAGCATACTTTGTATTTTAATGATTACGATTTGGTGTTATGTGAGGGATTGCGAAAAAAAGTC